CAATACTTAATTCGAAAAATAATCCAGTTGTATAGTTCTAGTTCACCTCTGCCCTTCGAGGAAGCGAAATAAATTCTTGATTTTGCAATGAAATCACCTTTCTTGAGACTTAAAAGCGCCAGTTTCATCAGGGCTGAAATGCAATTTTCATCACACTTTATACTTCACCAGAGGAATTCAAGCTGATTATGAACTAACAGCAATCTGTGGGCAGTTTCGCACTGATATGCAGCAATACATGTGTTAGTAGACTGCTAACTCTCTCCTGATTGATGTAGAACAGTATCAGACTTGACGCAGTTATTTATCGTATTTGAGTAGAGTTTCGAGACTACAAGTAAATCAGTAATATCATATGTATTCACCCTATTTCGTTTAAGGTGATGAAGGACTGGTGGTAGAATTTTCCCATAATGATATGAGTAGAGCTGACGTTTCCATTGAATTTCCCAAAAGTTGTTCTCATCCAGGGTGAACACCCTGGGAAAGCAAGGCTATGTGAAATTGAATGGAAACGCCAGCTCTACTCGTATCCTTGTTGAAAAATTCTACTACCAGTCCTTCATCACCTGAAACGAAATAGAGTATACACATCTGATATTCCTGATTTACTGGTAGTCTCGATACTCTACTTGCATACGAAAAAGTTAAACACAGTCAAGAAGCCAGGGCACCTAAAGTCGTCACCATCCTTCCATCCTACCGGCTTGGCCTAATATGCTCATCTTACTGGCTGCATCTACTCATTGTTTGATGGTGATTTGGGCGAAATTTGGACATTATATTGTTTTATATACTCATTTATTTTTTCAATGGGGAACTGCATAACGAAGAGACTCACAGGACCATCCCATCAGAAAGAAACTGACCAGTTGCGTTGTTCTGCAGCCGTTTGGCCTCAATTCCACTTTTAGAATAATGCAATACACACGACACCTTCCCTTGTTTCGGGTGAAAACGAGCGAAGCTTTCGCTGGTTATATAAAAGACATTGTCAGAACTGGAATTCATTCTTGCAAATGTATCAAGTTAACACTGAGTCAAGGAGACTATGCGGCTCTATTCTACATACTATCTATACTCATAACTAAAAAGGACATAATATAGATAAGTACACACACACACACGCACATGTTCAACTACAAATCCCTTGATTAATATTTGCGATTTAAGTTTGGCATATATTGTATGTGGGCCAACGCCGATTATTCTGTTCGTTCAGTGTTAACTTGTAGCTCGAGTAAGAATGACTTCCAGCTCTGAAGCTATCTGTCCAGTTGCACGAAAGACGAAAGCCTAGACAGTTTTTATCCGAAAAGAAGTGGGGCGTAACGTGGACTACGTCAACCTGAGCATCGTGTCAAAGCCTAAGGTGTTCAGGTGAAATCAGCCGAAGCATCACTTTTTCACATACACTTAATCAGGAAACGAAATACTCTATAACTTACCGAAACCCAGCTACGCTAAATTTTCTATGTCGTCGATTGACAGTCTTACGCTAAAGGGGAATTAGTAAAATTCCCATCTGACATTAGATCAAGTAGGCCCGATTGCTGCCTGGCGGAGTGGTGATCCGTTCTCTATTTTCGAATCCCATGAGAAAAGAGCCAAGTGGATTAACAATCCAGTCTCGTTAGGGGGCAAGACAATGGGCAATTACATGATAGCGTTTGATATTGAATCAAACCTGCATCATATTTTGCGATCTTGGATGAATAAAGTGTCAAGTAGCCTGTAGCTCTTCGATGATGAGTTAGTAAACCAGTTATACATCTCCTACATCTGCTTTCACTTCCCCAACTCTCCTCTCCTCTCCTTTCGCCTTTTCTTTTCTCTCTTATCTTCTCTATTCTCCGCTCGGCTCCTCTCCTCTTATTTCCCCTTCTTTCCTCTCATTTTATCGCTTATCTTCTCCTCTCTCATAATTTCTCCTAAACTTCTCTCCCCTCTTTTATTCTCCCCTCCACCCCTCTCCTCTACTATCCGCTTTACTTTTCAATATAATCTCCTATTTGCACCTATTCTCTTCTCCTTTCTGTTCTGCCCCGATCTGATCTTCTCTCCTCTCCTCTCCTGTCATGTCCTCTCCGCATTTTCTTCCTCCCACTCCATTCACACCTACTCGCACAGAGTCAGGCCTTGGGAAGCGAGCACTATCGCCTCGACTGGTCTTGTCCACAATTTATGGCAACTCTTAGTCCCCCTTCTAACATAACATAAACAACGATTGACTACGAAGGTTAAGTCAATACTGCCTTATTATGGCATTCTTCTTCACTATTGATTCATGCCTTATCTGGGCATAGAACGCATTTGGATGTGTCATAACTGGGCATCTGTATCGAAGACCAAGAAACCTGCCGATTTTCCGTGCCACTATCACATTTGTTTATGCTACGCCCTCGAGCTAGCCCAACGAGCCCAGATTGGCAACACATAGCCCATTACTGTCTCCCCTCTTGCAGACAGACGCATAATTGAAGGCATGCCCCAAATCTGTAGCGGTTCTGCAATTTCGTATCGTCTGCTCGGCAAGCTGGACTCGAATTGCACAGTTTGATGGCAAGTCCGGCTCACCAACCCTTGGTCCCCGGTGTCCCGGAGACCGACAGTTCGTCCGATCGCGAGCCCATCG